GATTGATGAACAATGTTCGAAAAGCTACCAAAAATACACACGAAACCAGGAACAGTTGCCACTTTCGAAAACTACGGCAAAAAAGTGCTGTAAAACACAGCATTTTCGACCATAACAAGGCCAAAAAATAAGAGGCGTGGGTGCCGCACCGAGGGGGGACGGCCTACTACTACTACTACTACTACTACTACTACTACTTCTACTACTACTACTACTCCTACTCCTACTCCTACTGCTACCACTACCATCACCACCACCACTACTACCACCACGAGTGACAACGACGACGACGACGATGGCTGCTACTGCGAATCGCCTCCCCGCAAACTGAGGTGGTAGGGGAGACCAGCAGGATTTTCTGCCCATGTGGTCCAACAGCGCATGGGCTTGTGGTTTGACACAGGGACTTTCTTGGGTTTCTAACTTTCTATTGGTTACGCTTAAGGCTTTTGGGACCAAGTAGGTAAGGCCCGGTTTAGGATTTCAGGGAGGAAGAGGAATGTCACGCTTCAGAATATCAGCCAAGGTAGGGCTGCAGGGACAGCACAGGATCAATGAAGGGGGTAGAAAAAGGTGATAAAGACTGGCCAGTCCAACCATGAAAATCGACCCAAAGTGAGTTCACCAACAACCCACAGAACCCAACGCCTGTGCAACTTGCATTCCAAGCGGCTCTCTGCAGCGAGGCGCTTCGGGCAAACTCTCCGAAGAGTCTGGTGTGACCTCGAAGGCGGGCGGTTCAGGTTTGGGTTTAGGTTGGTTGGTTGGTTTAGGGTTTAGGGTTTAGGGTTTAGGGTTTAGGGTTTAGGGTTTAGGGTTCAGGGTTTAGGGTTTAGGGTTTTGGGGTTTAGAGTTTAGGGTGGTCGACGCGCGCACTCGCACACGAATCTGTTGGATCGTGTATAGGGCTTACGTATTGGTTTGGGGGTCTCAACTTTCACGACTATGCACTGCCAGAGGGTTTCAAGGGCTCACGGCTGAGGTTTCCAGAGATTAAGTCTGCCAGTTGTAGGATGTGCCTGCCTCACCAGGGAAGTAGCTAGTTCGAGTTGTAGGACTTTCCTGTGCATGCTGAGTGGCCATCACATGCCCGAATACAACGATGGGTTAGGCGTGGCCACTCGGCAGCCTACGTGCAAGCATGTTGAAGCTGTTCTTTGCCGCCAAAGCGTGCACTTGCGTCAGGATGGGGGCATTCTGAATGCCCTATGACTCTGACACCATCATCTCTCAGCCCTAAAACACCTCAACGCTTATAAGATGAGGGCAGGTGAGGATAATGTCGGGGCTTTAATAATTAGAATAGGGTTTCGGGGGTTCCTTATTATAATTATAGTATGATATACCCCAAAACCCTATTCTAATGATTAAGGCCACGACGTTAGATTATAGGTCGATGGGGAGTAATTTCCTGCTGCAGGAACTGTGCAG